CCGCCCCCAGGAAGCCCAGCAACAAGCGGCCGCGGCCCCCGCCCCTGGGGCGGGCAGGTAAACCCCCGCCCCGCCCCCGCGGCGCCCCAGGCCCCGCGCGGCGCCGCGAGGAGATCCAGAAATAGCGATGATTTAATCCGGTGACACCTCCCCTGAGCCGCCCAGTCCTCAATCTGCGCGCTCACCGAGGGGAGGGGGGAGGCAGAACCGGGTCCAGCTCCGGCTTGGGGGGCGGAAATGGCCCAAGTGGGAGGCGCGGGGCGGGATACCGCTCCGTCACCGAGTTAGGCTCCTGCGGAGGGAGGAGAAGGTCGGCTGAGGTCGCCCATGGGCCCTCGGGCTGACCTCGGTCCGGCCCGGCGGCCCGGCACACCGGACGTGGACGCGGCCAGGGCTCTCCCAGCATGGGTCTCCGGAGAGGGAGGGGGCACACGTGGGTCCTTAGCCCGTCCACGACAGCATCACCAGCCATCCCCGAGTGAGGCAGCTCAGCAGCTCCAACAGTGACACAGAGATGCTACATGGCCAGGGCTGGTCCACACGCTTCCACACACACCGCTACCTGTATTCCCCGGGAGGCTGGTGCCAGATCAAGCCAGTACGCAGCGCGGGGCGGCCCGTGACGCTCCCCGCCCGGGAATGTGCCCGTTGTGCGGGGAACGCAGCCCCCACTCCGCGACCCTAAACTGGGTGGGCCGCAGAACTTCCACTGACCATGAGCAGGTCCATTCTAGAATTTGCCATCGACTAAGTATCAACTTCCAGAGAGAGAAGAAAATTTGAAGTTGGAAAGCACATGCTGCCCTTCACTTTTGTATGGAGTTAGGTGTTTCAACAATCCTCATTCTCTGCACGCTTTGCGCCTGGCGAGTGGGCTCCACGACCCGGACCCCAAGCGCCCTAGGGCGCGCCTGCCGCGTGGAAATGAGTCGGAAGGAACCGATTCCCCAATTGCTGAGAAGCATGATCACATCACTCCTTTTACCCTCCTGCAGGTTTCGCCTTGAATCCGAAATCGCCTCTTATGCCCATTCTTTACAGGAGGACACTCGGAGGAGGCAGGGTCTCCCTTTGGTCTGTTGCATACCCATCTAGCTGCACAGACTCGGATAAAAGCGTGTCCACGTCTACAGTACACAGCTGTGCAGTTCAGGAGCCTGAGGATGCGCGGGGCTGGTGGGACTCAGTGCAGACACATGGGCGCATGCACGCGCGCGCGCGCACACACTCACGCCCCAAATTACCTCCGGGATGGAGAAGGCCGCTACGGATTGGCCGGCAGAGCCGTCACTCTCACTCAGGGGGCAGGGAAACTTTGCAAGGCTGTTTCCTTTCCCCCCACAACCCCCACCGTTTCATTTAATGGTAAAACAACAGCAGAGCTCTGAAAGTTAGCCATCTGCGCGGAGTTTGCCTTCTTCAACGAGGGGGCCATCAGACAATATTCATTTAAATATATTTTGTACTTCCACAATGGACGAAAAGGGAAATTAGCAATCCTGGGAGGGGGCGGAGAGAGCTCGCAGTAAGACGAGAGGCTCTTCTGGGAGGGGTGGACGCAGGGTGAAGAGTAGGTCTCAACACCCAAAAGGGACTTTTGGCCACTCATTGATCTCGAAATTAAAAAATGTTTTTCACAGGTCAGGTTATAACAAATGCCGGTCTTAATTTATGAACTCATTATTTTAATTTTATTATTTAAGCATGCGCCAGCAATCGTGTTTCCTTAAGAAAGAAGTGACCTATTTTTGGCCGGAGATAAACGATCATGTTAACAGATGTTAATCTTGTAATCTGTTTTTCCTGTAAGCACTTTACATACCCGGGTTTCAAACCTTAAAAATAACATCTTTTCCAAAATGACCTGACGTCACAATTCGCTCCCTGAAAAATGACTCCCTGTCTCCCATTTTTTTCCTCTGCAAAGATTTCAAAGACATTAAATCTTTTTCACTTTATAAACGCTGATTTGTTCTGCCTCAACTCCCACAGGCTTTTATTTGCATTTCAAATTCCACAGGTTACACCAGTCGCCTTTTCAAAAAATGTAAACCAACAATGAAGCAGCAAATGGCTTTTTGTGCATCTGGATTAAATAAGACACAGAATGAATATATTTTAAAAGGGGGCTGAGCAAGTTGATCTTTGCACACCCGGAGGCCAAGTAATTCTTTATCAATAAGCCCGGCGGAATAAGTAAGCTACAGACATACAGCCCTGCAGCCCCTGGTCGGAGCCGGTCTGCTGCGGGGAGCGTACTAACGCTGAGAATAAATGGGGCTGATTTACAGACCCATATTTTCGGGTCAAAAGCTGGGTCTCTCTGGTCCCTAACTGCAGAGTCCATTGGGTCGCTAGCCCCCTAGGGATGACTGTCACCGCACACCAACCTTCCTCCATAAACCAACGTTTTAAATACCCGACTCGGGCTGGCTTTTAGCAAACTTATCCATACAAAGTTTCTTTAAAACTTGACGAGGCGGTTTGATCTAAATACCGATCGTAACTATTCAGTATGTTAGTTCTTGGGAACGGCAGGCGAGGCGCTTTTCCACCCCCACGCAGCGCCCCCCCCCCGACACACACAAACACATACACACAAACACATACACACCCCACAGCGTTCTTCTTTTCTTGTACATACCCGGGTATACATCGTGATCAATA